AAGTAGGATTAAATGATAAAATTATAAAACTGATACGACAAAATAATATTTTAATTTTCAATTGTCTGTCAATACAAGATGAAAAATTCAGAAAAAATCACATACTAAGAAGAATAGGAAAAAAAGAGAAAAAAAGTATAATCATTGTTTTTAGAAATTTCGGAAGATACTTTCAATGTTTCTGTTATATCTATTCAAGAATCATTGAGAGAAGGCTAAAATTTTGAATTTGTAGGTTTTTTTTACATGCGCTTTCGTTTGTGATGATCAGATAGGTAGATCAATATTTTTTGTATGACATACTATTACGAAAATGTTCGATTCAGTCATGAATCAAGATGTGCGGGACCACGATCACGACTACGAAAAATAGTTGTCTCAATCGAGAGCTGCAAATTATAGTTAAATATTCAATGGTTGTAAACGAATTGTCTTATTAATCATCAACCATAATATAATTCAAGAGAAATAATTCGAAAAGTGCTAATTGTCGACTAAATAAGTTTAAAAACGAATATTGTGATTCAAATAAATTTTGGAATAGTTTTCTCTACATCGGGATCCGAAAAATTTGATCTCACAAATTTCTAGTCATGTGCCGTCTCTTTAACTTTGAAAATATCTAAAAAGATGAATTTTCCTTCCAAATACAAATTTTCATTGACTCTATCTCGACCAGTTGGAAACATTAAAAGTGTCGTATTAAATATTCAAGCTGTCAACAGTGTTGGCATACACAATTAGAGGAGAACAATAGTACTGACAAAGTTTAATAAATGAACTTGAAGAGTCCTATGTTCCAGAATGTAGTTGAGAAAATAGTTTAGTAGTACGTACAATCCATTTTTCAGAACTCAAAATAGAGAGCAAATTATGTATTGAACAAGCAGCGTTGAAATCCATCGGTCATTTGAATCATGTCGTTTTTCGATCGAACAGAGAAAAGACGAATGAACTCTTAAAAATGTCATCTACGTTTCGTAATAATCAAATCAGTGGCTTGATTTCCACAGAAGTATATAACTCCGACTTCAAAACCAATTTTCCATCCTTGTCGATGTCTTTGAATGTATTATGCAAAGTATGCCTAAATAAACGTCTGCAAGTACAAATGATTTCTTTGAAATGTGGCACTATCGGTTTAAGTTCGTTGCGTAATAACGAAAATAAAAGGCAATAAATATTATTTTTGTAATTTTGGTCCGTTCTTCAATTGAAACATTTTTTTGATATATTTAATAATATTAAGAAGTTGAAATCTCTATCAAAGCTTGACAATAAATCTTTATTTAATACATTAGAGACGTTCTTTCCTTCTAATCTGTCATTATAGCCTATGTTACTATCGCCTTTTTCTCTCTACTAAACTTAATACCATTAGCTTTGGATGTGAGGTATCGGAGTAGAGAAGACCCATACACATCCCACCCTTGTCAAATGGTCGGATTTGTTATCATATTCCTTCAGAGAAGACCATCAAAGTTGTTTACAGTAAGTTTATTGCAACTGCGTCGATGCATGATTGCGAACGATCAAGAAAATCATTTTAAGCAACATCCGAAAAATTAGCTGTAATTGTTGAAGGTCTGTCAAATAATTCATTGAACAATGTCTGTCGTGTTTTTCAGGAGTTAAACATGTATAAATCAGTAACACATCAAAGAATATATGTCGCATTGCATTAGAAACTGTGAAAAACACATTTGACACAACAGCTGTATTAAGAAGACAAGGATTTACGTTTTGAGATGTCCGAAATCCTATTATATATTCCTCGATGATAAAAACAATGATGATATAATTTCTTTCAGATGAGGCAACATTTCATGTTTCAGACGTGGTACATAAACACAATTATCGCATTTGGGCACAATATAATCCTTTTGCTGTTGTAGAAGGTGCGATTAAGTCACCAAAATTTACTGTGTGGTGTACAATGTGAAGCAATCTAATCGCTGGACCATTCTTTTTTGATGAATCAACGGTTGATTAACAGAATTATCTTGACATACTTCAAAGATTCTTTTATCCAATTTTATAGAATGAAACGATTAATAGAAAAGTGGGTTTACCACAAGAGAGGGCACCATACTTAACAACAGTGAATTTGTTTTTATGATGTTACATTAAAACAAATGTCTATAAAACGAAAATTAAAGATCTGGAGCATTTAAAGATAAGCATAACTTCAGATATTGAAGTTATTATTATTAGCCTCTTCAAATCGCTAATACATCGCATGTATAATTTTTAGATGTTGCTGATATCAATGTTCTGTTTCTTAGAGAGCACATGAACAAACTCAAAATTTAGCAAAGACTTTTACGCGGCGCACAGTTTTTAAATAAACTTATCTACAGTGCCATCTATATCAGTAAATAAAAATTAAAAAAAGGTACAAAAATTCAATAAAATAGAAATATTTGCAATTTCTAGTAAATAGCTTAAATTTGGTCCCGAATATCTGTTTCTATCAACATATTAGAGGCAAAAAACTTGTCCAACACCTTATGCACACCATTCACAGACGAAAAAAAAAATGATTCTGTTCTGTTTACTTTTCTCAAGTGGCGATACTTTACTATATATGCTGAATTCTTCCAACATAAAGTTGTTTTTCATTGAAAACAAAAGTACTCTACCAAAAACAGTTACCGTCACTGACAGTCACAATTTAAAGTAAAATATCGGAATATCGGTACTAGAAATAAGTAAGTTTTAGCATATCTTTTGAATAGGAGTTTAACTCGACTGGCAGTTTTTACACCTGCATCTGTATTTTACTTAATACTCGATAATTATTTAAATATAAATTCAACGCATCGTTCATATTTATTGGAAACAGTTTTCGAACTTCTGCCCTTCGTCATCTACTCATGCATGTAACAATTGAAACTAGAATCTAGCTATTGAAGTAAATTTCTAATATTATACTATGGACTGCTTGAGGGTGTGGATATGGCTCTTGTCGTAATTCATACCCACGTTCTATAATAGGTTTCCGAGCATATAAAAACCATGTCGTCACGATCATCCAATTTAGCACTAAGATGGTAGAAAAATATCTCCATTCCATCGAATATTAGATACCAGAAATCTTGAAAATCTGAAAACTTGACGGCACATATTGCAACAAGAATGAATGCTCAGTACATGAGACCCAACCCATTGCTTTAATGCAAAGAAAAGTGTAGTGGGCGACATCTATTTTTGGTTCAAGCCTTTGAACCTGAAAATATGTTTGTCTGAACGACTTTGCTTTGCTGCTTATTCAATAATGACTAATTCTCCATATTTTGATATACAATGAGTTTCACCCGAATCATAAAGTTGTTTAGTGGAAGATTGCAGTCTCTTAGTCCTCGGCATCAACACGTTGATCGTAAGCATGCCACTCTGCTCATGTGTAAGGTTCTTTTCTGATACTTGTAAGAAGGAATGTTCAATTACAGACGAAGCTTCTCTAAGTATTTGATATCGATTCATTGAACTACTAATAAGTTATTATCTTCAAAGAATTACAGACCGCTATTGTTCACATTGATAGTTACAGGAAAGTGGTCATCCTTCTACGAATACTTGATGTGTTTCACTGACATTAACAGAATAGATACGTAGAACATAATACATTATAATAAAGAGTCACCTGACCCCCAAAAGCGTCTTTCTTCAGAATCATGGGGTTCAAATAAAAGATAGGCTCCATTCCTTGCCGTTCATCACATTTCTCTCTTTATTTATGCAATCGAAGTGCAATTTTCTAATTGATGTAGATTCTTGTTAAATATAAGGTAAGGGCAAAATGTTCGCGACATTTTCTTATCGATATTAATAGAAAAATTTCTAAGAACTTTTCTTTCATTTAATATACTAAAAGATGCAGCGTAAAAAGCTCTACAATTTTCATAAGACCGCTTTTTTTACAGTTGCACTTTTTGTTTTCAAAATCGTCAAAACTTCGAGCGACCAAATTTCGGCGCTGCGAACAGATAACACGAACGAGGAGTTATCTTTTTTCTTATTTTATCTTTTCATCACCTGTATATATTGTAGAGCTTTTCACGCTGCATCTTATGGTATATTTTGTTTTTTTTACGAAAACATCTTAGGAGATAAAATGATGAAATAAGAAAAAAGAAATGTCTTTTCATGTTATCTTTTAGTAGTGTCGAAAATTGATCTCACAGAATTCTGTTTTTTTTTGCATACAAAAAGTAGACAATTAAAATAAGCTTCCCTTCGTGGATTGCAGAGCTTTTTACGCTGCATCTTTTGGTGTATTTTATTTTCTTTAAATAAAAGATTTCAGGTGGTAAAGAGGAAAAAACGCATTGGTCGTGTATTGAACAAAGAATTTTTCGCAGCATCGAAATCTGGTGGCTCAGAATTTTTGTCGATTTTAAAAACGAAAAGTACAGCTGTAAAAAAAGTGCTCTTGTGTAAATTATAGAGCTTTTCACGCTGCATCTTGTGATGTCTTTTGTTTTTTTTTAAATAAAAGATATGAAGTGATCAAAAGATGAATAAATCCATCTTGTGCCAAAACAATATCGTTTTCACACGGTCGAAATGTGATCGCTTGAAGTTTTGACGATTTTGAAAACAAAAAGTACAACTGTAAAAAAAGCGGTCTTGTAAAAATTGTAGAGCTTTTCACGCTGCATCATATAGTATATTATATGAAAAAAAAGTTATTAGAAATTTTTCTATTAATATCGATAAGAAAATGTTGCGAACTTTTTGCCCTTACCTTATGTACAGACTAACTTTTACATCACCAGCGAGTATGGTAGCTAAGATGCGATGGGGTAAAGACTTTTGTCCACTACTATCAGTGATTTATGACAAACAACGATTTTTAAAAGGAATGTTAACATTAAAACTATGACATTATCATTCGACTGACATATAAAATGAATGTTTGTTTTAGCAACAGAGCAAGTTAATCAACTATCTTTTTGGAAGTATTTGCTCAAAGTAAACAGCACACAAATTTGATGATGGCTACTGCTATGAGAAGCACTACAGGAAAGGATATGTGTGATATGTGTTCTCCGAAACAAGTTGTTGCCATTACATCCTGTAAAGGCTGTTTGAAAGATATGTGTCGTAAACATTTCAATGAACATCGTGAGAAACTTTTCAAAGATTTACATAACGTCTTTGATCTTCATGATAATCTTCTGCAAGAACTACAACTTACAATTAATCGTGCATCAAAATCATCGGTCAATGATAAAGCTCTTGCTTTTTTAATACAAATTGATGAATGGAAAGCAAGAACAATCGAGCGTGTTTCGCAAGCAGCTAACGAAGCACGTACAAATGTTGAACGCTTGTTTAGTAGAAAAATCGAATATGAGCAATTGAAGCAATTGAAGCAAAAAGTTGACGAAATTACGAAAGAGTTAAAGGAACAGCAAGAATCAGAAAGTTTTGTGGAAATTGATATCGATTATTGGATGAAACAATTGAAACAACTAAAAACCGATCTTAATCGACCATCAAAAGTCGACACTAATCCTCCAGTTCTTCAAATACAAAATGTTGATTGGAATTCAGTTATCAAGGTCTCATCTCCTAATGAACTGGAGAAAGGTATGTAGTATCCGATTTCTGTAAAATAGTCACGAGCAACCGCAATGAATGTAATGCCAACAGTACTGATAACTGACAAAAAATGAGAAGTAATTTGCTTAGAAAGGATTTGAACAATTTGTTGCTGTAAATAAGGATGCTCCTTTTTAATATCTTTTAGAAGGTTTTGTGAGCGTGACGAATATGAGAGTTTTTTAGAAATTTTGGATAACCCTATCATGGCAGTAGAGAAAACATGAGCCGTCACTTCTGTTCCATTCGAATGAAATCGTTAATTTTCATCATTCTTGCAAATAAAGAGACTTAAAGTTGTAGAAGTTCTGAAGATATGAATAGTAGATTATAATGAAAAACTGGAAGAGTAATAAGAAGTTGTAAGACCTTGTGACGGAGTGATATGCAACATGAATGCAATAAGATAGACTACGTACTAATCAATCACAGAAATCATCAATTTCGTTCTAGGAAAACTATCAGCTTTTATTGAGAGTATACTGTATGACAAAATGATAATGTATGAATGCATCCTTTCATCAAAATAATGTTGTTTCTTTTTGGTAGAACTTTCCAACAAACTGTGCTAAAAAACCTTTTTTCGACGTTTAAAGCCTGCTACAGACGAACAATCTTCGTTTTCTAAAACACACTTTCCAAGTAGTAAAACACAAAAACTATCGTGATCCTACTCCTGTGTACTCAAAATAATACAGTAGATACAATATGTTTCAACATGAAACTCTTTTGTTCTTTCTAGATTTATTAAGAAGACAAGCACCAAACGTTTTACAATCATCATTCCAGGAGAGCTACTATCTCACTTATTTCTTTAGCATGTTATTCACACGTTTATTCAAACTCGAAACTAATATGTACAAGTATAGAAAAAAGGGGAACATGATCGTTCATCTTGAAATCATTCATCATCTATATAGTTTACAATATCAACTTGAAGACGAAGCTTCTATTCGAAGCGTCCAATATACTTGTATCCGATTCTAATTAACAATAGTCTATTATTACGAACAATTGACTTTCAACGGCTCTGAAACACAAGCTGCAAATTCAACAGAATACTGGAAGAGAAAGATTATATGAGGTATTCATGTTCGTTGCAATAATGAGTTTTGAATATGTAATCATATCCTATTCTTTCTGCATCATATTTGATCACTACCATGTTAGGCATTATCCTCTGACCATCAATTGCAACAACTACTCCCCAATAAAAAGCTCCCGTGCAGATAGTAACCTAATACTGGAAAAAACCTAATTGATGGAGATTCAAAAATCATCGAGTTCTCTTAAACACCAAAGCTAGAGGATACTTAGTGTGTTCCGTTTACCGAAATCGAACATCCATATGAGGATGGTCATTTCTGAATGTCATCAACTTGCTGATGTATAAATCAATCATATATACAATTTCAACATTTTGTTATTTCCGCACAAAATCAGAAGTTAAACAATAAATTAACCTTGTTGCTTCGCATTATAACACTATTTTTCACAAATAGCGATCGAAATACCAACGAAACAGAACACAACACGGAGCTAGGATGTTCTCATAACGACTCACCCCTCGGAACCTGTCTGCGGGGAATCAATCATTATTAAAACACAAAATCAATGCAAGTTACGAGATGCATCCATCTTTAGATATCACACAACAAATGAATTGAATACGGGCAGCCCACTTTTTCTCCATAACACTCAATATCTGACTAACACAAGCAGTACCGCCATTTGAATATAGTCCACTTAGATATTTCTCAACAGAAAAGAAAAGAAGCATGAAGAAACTCAATATTCGAACAATACAAGTCGCAACAATCTTCAATTGTCATGAGTGCTGACACGTAGGTTGAGCTTTTCATAATAAATGATCAAACGACTAGTATAGTTGGAATCTAACAGCAGTACGATGATTAGTACTCCGCATGGCATTCGAGCGACTTTATATTGTGTTATGCGGATATAAGAGTAAATAAAATACCTGAACAATAGAAGCAGTATAATTGTTCATATATTTGCCTTCGTTCACTCGAATTTGCATACCAATATTGAGAAAATTGAACTGAATTCAATACCTAAACAAATCAAGATGAAACATACTTCACATACTTGGTGTTCTAGGATATTGTTTCGGTTTTAATCATTTCACCATCTCAATACCTAAATACATGTATACCACCAGCAGAATCAATGTTGCACTACTGCGTAGTGTTTCAGATCCTGTCGCATTCCATCCCTTCATTATGAAAGAGAAAAAATTTGAACAATATTCCATCAACAAATCGATCATGGAAATACTATGAATCCTTACATCTTGTAAAGATATACATCATCTCCTAAAAAGACGCATAAAACACCGGAACAACACACACAGAACAATTGCTCATATACCATGTGTCATCTGCCATTGATGCAATTTCCACTGACGTATCATCCGAGAAATGAAAAAATCACACAATTCAAGCCAAGTGATCATTCGAACGTCCTGCATCATTTGAAATTGTTTCGTCTTTCCACACTTCTTAATGAAAAAAACGCAATACCTAAACAAACGAGGTGAACGACAATTGAGAAACTCCGTGTTCGCTGCAATCCGTCTGATTAGATGCGTACATCACCAAAGGAAATTGAATAACTGAACTATACTAGTCGCCAGGAGCTTCCGACACCATGTGTTCCTTGATCTTCCTTTCCTTTTCATTGCTGAATAATAAAATAAAATACTATATTTGCACAATTCAAGCAGTACAATACTTCGCAAACCCTACGCTCTCTGTCATCGTTCAGAGTCCGATCAGCCCATTCCTCAAAAAACATCCTATACTTGAACAGAATTTGTTGAGAGTTTATTCAGGCACCCTGTCTTGTTTGATACACTATCAATTATATTCTTCACTTTCATAGTGAATAACCAATCCGAACAACTACAAACGCGTGACTGTTGACAGTACTCGTGTTTCTCTGAATTCGCCGACTTCCATTCATTCACTCTAGCACAAAATCAAATATTGAAATAATTCTCGACGCATAACCGTTAAAATACCCTATATTTCTACCTATTCCTTCAAAGGCCAAAAAGTTCAATAACATTAAAACGCAATATCCGACCACCAGCCGCAGCCTGATCGTTTGCACGCCCCATCTCACTTCAACATTATACTCTCTATATAATTTACTCACCATATACATCCAATAACCGTCCCATTCAAGCAAAATCATCCTTCATCCACAACGTGTTACACAAACCAATTTTCCCTTGCAACGGTTATCCCCATTCCTATCAAATACGCGAAAAACTCCTCGGACTCCTTATTCAAATTCTCTCTTCCTCATACTACTTACGTAGGTCTCCTTCCTTAAGTTTCTACTCACAGCAAATACTCAAATCAAAACTGCCGAAACCACATTCAGATACCCACTGTTATTCGATTTACTAACCACTTCCATTACTAAATTTTCATACTCCACCACACTTCTGAACAACACCAGCAGATTGACCATTTGAATTCCCTGCGCCATTTCAAAGATGCTACCGTCCCACTAGTTGAACTTCATCCTCAATAATATTATCGAACAACACATGCAAAAGGATCACTAAATACCGTGTGGTGTACGAAATATGAAATAGTTTTATTCTTTCCTTACCATCTTAAATCATATAATCGAACAATATATTGAGAATGATAATTTAAATACGCGGTGATCGCTGAAGACCAAAGAGTTTTGCTACATCATTTTCATCTTCAATCATACTACCGGACAACACATGAAGAACGGTGGTTAAAATACCGTGTCATAATTCCAAGATGCATAGATTCACCAGTTCATTTTCATCTTCACTGATAATAGCGGACAAGACATGGAGAATGATTATTCCAATACCGTGCAGTATTTCAAACAAGAAACCGTTCTACTAGTTCATCTTCATGTTAAATGATATTGCCGGCGAACACATGCAGACCGATCATTTCAATACCGGGCGATATTTCAAAGATGACGTAGGTTTATTAGTTGATTTTCATCTAAAGTGATATTATCGGACGACACATGCTGAATGCTCATTTAAATACCCAGTCACAATTCAAACATGAACGAGTTCCATTAGTTCATCTTCTTCTTGAATGATATTACCCGACAACCCCTGAAGAATACTCATAGAATTATCGTGTGATACTTCAACCATGAAAGAGTTCAATTAGTTAATCTTCATGTTAAATGATATTACCGGACAACCAATGCGGAATACCCATAGAAATACCGTGTGACATTTCACAGATGAAAGAGTTCTATTAGTTTCTACTCACAGCAA